TTTTAAGACAGGGTCCCTTTTAAGTTGCTGGCCTTGTACTTGTAATCCTTCTGCCTCAGCCTCCTGAGTCGCTGGGATCACAGGCCTGTACCACCACACCCAGCCGGTTGTCTACCCTGGTGCCATTTATAAAAGTAAATGTCTCATCTATTCCATTTCCCTCCTTTCTCTGCTTAAAACAAACAAACTTTTTTTTTGTAGTTGTGGATGGACACCTTTATTTTATTTATTTATCAAACCCAGGGGCCCTACCCCCAGCTCCCTCTTTGTTCTTTCATGGTTACTTTAGAGCTATGCTATTCAATTCAGTGGCCACTAACAAGATGTGCCTAGAATGTGGTGAACAGGACTGAGGCATTGAATTTTTAGTTTAGTTTTAATTAATTAAAATTTTAAAGAAGATAGGCCTCAGTTATCAAGAAATTTTAAGTATGTTCAGAGCAGCTTGGGCAACTAATGGGATCAAAACATAAATCAAGTTATTTTCCTCCAGTCTCAAGACTATTTAGTATTTCTCTTGGTTCTAAATAGCTGGTGGTGAATTCTCTCATCTTTATCTGAATGGCTTCATTTCACTTTCTTCCTTTGATGATATTTTTGCTGAAAATGGAATGCAGGCTGACAGAGCCTCTTTTTCAGCATTATATAATATTTCAATTCATTTTTTTCTGGCTTACGTGTTTTCTGATGAGAAATCAGCCATAATTTTCATCATTGTATACAAGGTAATCTTTAATTTTTTATTAGTCCAAATATCGTCTGTTTATATTTGGCTTTCAGAAATTTGACCCGGACATACCAAGGTGTGCTATTCTTTGTATTTATCCTGGTTGAAATACAGAGTTTTGGGAATCTGTGAACTGATATTTTTCACTAAACTTGGAAAAACTTTTGCCACTATTTACATGTTTTTCCTCCTCCAATCCCCTCTCCTCTGCTTCCGAAACTCCAATTATATCTATATTGTCTGCATGGGCCATTGAGGCTGTGTTCAGTTTTTCCTCTCTGTGCTTCATGTTGTATAACTTCTGTTTAGTTGTCTTCAAGTTAACTGATCTTTCCTTCTGCTGGTTCCAATCTATACTAAATCCATTCAGTGAAACTCTTACTTAATCTGTATTTTCAGTTCTAGAATTTCTAGAGGGCTTTTTTTACAAGTTCATATCTTTCTTAAGATAACCTTGTTGGGCTGGTGTTGTGACTCAGTGGTAGTGCGCTTACCTAGCATGCGTGAGGCACTGGGTTCAATTCTCAGCACCACATACAAATAAATAAAGGTCCATCAACAACTAAAAAAAAAAAAGATACCTTTGTTATCTTCACACATTTTATTAATTCTATTAAATTTCTTACCATACTTACAACAGTTGTTTTAAAGTTCTTCTCTGCTATTTCTAGTATTAGATGGTCTTTGGGTCTTCTTTATCCTCTTGGATATGGGTTACATTTTCCTGATATTTCAGAATGTCTTGTGATTTTTAATTTTATGATGAACATTGTGTGTCAAAAGGCAAATGATAAAGTATGATATTTGTATATTTTGTTTAGTCTTTTTTAAAAAATTTTTGTTGTAGATGGACACAATACTTTTATTTTATTTATTTTTATTTGGTGCTAAGGATCAAACTCAGTGCCTCACACATGCCAAGTGAGCACTCCACCACTCAGCCATAAGTGCAGCCCCTTTTATTTAGTATTAATGAATTCAAACCTTTTCTCTCCAAAAGCTAGTGTGTTTATGTTTAGAATGAGGGTTAATTATTTAGATTTTTCTGAGTTGGGCTGGGGCTGGTAATGATTTTAACTGAGTTTTTCCTCTGTCTTCAAATGGGATTAAGGGGAGTTTACTTCACCATTGAGCTAATCTCCAACTTTTTAAAAAACTTTAAAAATTTTTTTGGTCCCAGGGATTGAATTCTAGGCAATCAACCCCTGAGCCACATCCCCAGCCCTATTTTGTATTTTATTTAGAGACAGGGTCTCACTGTATTGCTTTTGCAGAGGCTGGCTTTGAACTCATGATCCTCCTGCCTCAGCTTCCCAAGCCGCTAGGATTACAGGCATGTGCCACTGTGCCCAGCTAACCTCAACTTTATATACCTCCCATCAGTCACTAATTTCTTGGATGCTGGCAACTTTTTGAGTTGGAGTGGGTTAGATGGTAGCTTTAGATGTTTTTGATTTCTTTTTGTAATTAAGTGGAACCTATGAATCTAAGCACCATAGGTCTCTGCCTGCCAGCCCTGTCTCCATGGAAGCTTTTGCCACTTCCTTAGCATAATTTCTAGGGAGGATGTGAGGATAATTGTTGGATAAAGCAAACTACTTGGGTATTGGGGAGGTTCCTTAAGATCTCAGTACCTAATAGCTATTCATAAAGTTATTAAATACTTCAGATGGTTTCTTCTTATTTGTAGAAAGTCTTTCCATCTACAAAGGCCTGTCCTCCACCCCCATCACCTACATTAGGTACTTACTCCCAGGTATAAAGGCTCTTTGTTCACTATGATTTCTGATTACTCTCTAGGGTTTGGTTACTTAAAGTTTATTTATATCCACTATTCTTCAATAGCTTCATAGGAAAGTATGGTTTTAAAATTTTCTCTGTTAAAATTTTGCTGCTACCATGGACTTTTGCACCCTTCAACATCCTAAAGGGAAGAAAAATTCCACTGTGGAGGTTGAAAATCCAATGTCTGGATGTACCCATGACCAAGTAAATCAGGATCTTGGGTAGAGCAGACACAGTGTTTCTAAGGCTCCCTATGATTCAAATATGCAGCTGATGCCAATAATCACTGACTGTGGTCTGAAAGCTGTGGCAGTCTTCTTTGTAAGTTAATTAATTGATTTTGAGATCTTCTTTATTCCATTTACAATAATGGAAAACCTTGGGACAGCCACATCTCTGAGACTGTTTTCTTCTCTCTAAAGCAGGAGAATTAGAATGTTCCCTATTTGTGGTTTTCTCTGAGACTAAATGTGAAGTGATCATTAATGGAGAGGTTCTGAGTTTGTAGGTTCATGGGGCTGGCAGATTGCTAAAGTAGGGGAGGTGGCCCTTCTTCTACCTGCATGGCTGCAATTACTCACTTCTGAACACAGGCATGGCCACTGGTGGTAGCCCAGAACCCCAGCACTAGAAAGATGATGGACGTGGTCAGCATCGAGGTCATCAGGTTTCCCAGGACTACGAGGAAGGTTGTCTTGACAAAGTTGTCCCTTCCAGCCTCGTAGGAGGAGGTGATGATAGTGCCCATGCCGAGGCCCAGGGAATAGAGCACATGGCCTCCTGCCTGACGCCACAGTTCCATCGAGGACAAGGCAGAGAGCTGTGGAATGGGGTAAGAGGAGTTGGGGAGCTGGCTTGCAGGGCAGAACCACCAGTGAGTTGGCAGAGGGGCAGGCTGGGAGGAGAGCAAAGGGATGAAGACTAGGGTCAGACGGAAGGGAGGTGTGGAGCAAGGAGAATCAGAAAATTCTTGGGAGGTTGAGGGAGGAAGAAGATGTGGAGTCTCTGGCCTCACCTCTGTGGTTATCATACGTTCCAGGCTGGCAACTGCACCTTCCAGAAAGAGACATTTGATGAAGATGCAGAGGAGGAAGATGTAGGGGAGGATTATCGAGAAAAACAGCAACTGACCAGGTAGATCAGGATGGAAACCAGGATTCCAGAGAGGTGGGGAGGAAAGAACACAGAGACAAATGTTAAAAAGGGATTGCAGGACTGCGGGCTAGAGAGAGGGAGGCGGGTACTGGTAAGGTGGCCCACAGGGAACAAGTCAGCATATTGGACGTCAGTCTAGGGAGACAACACTGTTCTCTGGAAAGACAAATCTATCAATAAGCTGACTGGTCGTGACGGGGGAAACTCCAACTAGAGAAGGTTTTTAAATGGCAAGGCAAGGACACTGTCAACTCACAGGCTTTGGATAATGGCCCACATGTGAGCTTAGAAATAGGAACCACAAAGGCGAGGGAGCCAGCGGAGCTGAAGTCTACGTGGGAAGAATTTGAAAGGCGAAGGGAGAGGGAAAGAGAACTATGAAAGGGACTTTGTAACATGATTAATACAAATTTCTAAGTTCTTCATTCTGGGGTGGGGTGATAAGGGCTCCCTCCTTCAGTGTGCTCCACCAAACCTCTAGTAAAGTCCACTTTTGTAAGACTGGTTTCTATTGGAGGCTGTAAAGAGAGGGTACATTGAGCCTTCAGGGGTGTGTGATGTAAGCTGACTGCTTGCCCTGATGCTGGGACCGAGGATGAAGGCAGTTAACTAAAATGATCTCGTAAACACAGTGGAATAAATTTTCCACGCAAGGGGAGTATGACTCAGGTGAGAATGGAGTAGAAATATGGATTGACATAAAATACTCTAAACGGGAAACTGGAAAGCAATTGGTGGCAATCAGCTCCTTTAAGAGTTAACATGAACTGGGGCTGGGATTGTGGCTCAGTGGTAGAGCACTCGCTTAGCACGGGCAGGTCCCGGGTTCTAACCACCACATAAAAAATAAAATAAAAAAGGCATTGTGTTGTGTCCATCTATACCTAAAAAAATAAATATTTAAAAAAATTTTTTAAAAAAAGAGTTAACATGAACTGTCAAAATGTAGGAAGGCAGAGGTTGCCCTGCTCACTGGGAGCCTGGGTTCTGATCTGAAAGCTTCCTAAAGGTCTCCAGGAGCAGTGGGCACGAAGATGGTAAAGAGGGAGCTTGGTCAATACGAAGCACTTCTTGATGGGGGTAGCAGTTTTTTAGGGGAGTGGTAGGTACAGCTGCCGTGAGGACAGTATGGCCTCTTCCGTAGGACCCCACCTGGAAATTCTGGTGGCTATATCTGAGCTTCTCCCCTGGGTGGGTGGAGGAGTCATGGGGACTGAAGAGCAGTCAACAGAAATCAGGTGAATAGTGTTAGGACAGGAAACCTGGGGATCTTTAGAAAGACAAAGAGGACGCAGGGCCACAGTCAGGGTGGCTTACCAACACTGACAAATCGAGCCCCATGATGATAATGATGAAAAGGAAGATCCAAGTTGTTAAGACACCCAGGCTGAGCTTCAGGACGAGGTTCTGGATCCCTTCCTCAATGTGGCCTGAGGCTTCCAGGGTGGTGTGGTACCAGAAGTATTGGTGGGGCACAGTCTGAAGGCAAGAGAAGTCTGGGGGGACCCAGGTGCTTAAGCACCACCTTACTTGGCTCCTGCCCCTGTTCTTCACTTCCTTCCCTTGGGCTCACTTGCTCCTTAGTGCCCCTACTCCCTTGCACTGATGGCCCCTCTTTCCCTCTGCTCACCAGTGACACTGATGTTCTTCACCAGCGGGCAATAGTCCCAAGGCAAGGGATGGTCAAAGGAATTGGCCAGGTAGTAGAGGCTCCAGGAGAGGACGGCACTGTTATACAAGCTCATCAACATGCAGACCTGTGGGTGGACATGGTGGACTGCGGAATGGAGCAGGTAGAGACAGAGAACCTGAAGACCACAAGAGGCAATCTGGATTGCCTCTCAGCTGGGCTCCTCACTTACCAGTATACTAGTGTAGCCCATGCCACCTAGCCAGGGAACGAGCTGCTTCCAGACCTGGATGATGTCTACACGCAGCCACCGCCCTATGATCATCTCCATGTACAACAGGGGAATCCCGAAGAAGAGGAGCATGAGTAAGTACATCAGGATGAAGCTACCTGAGGAAGGGAACCAGGATCCATGCCCAGGCAGCCAGGAGTTGTGCCCCATTCTCTCTTCTAGGAGGGTAGGTGCCCGTCCCCAGGTCTCTTCTCCTCCATGACCCAGGAATCTAGGCTCCCAGCCTTAAAACTTTTTTCTTAACCTAAGGGACCCCAAGCCCCTGGGCCTTACCTCCTCCATTCTGTTGACACAGGTAAGGGAAACGCCACATGCTGCCTAGCCCAAGAGAGAAAGCCAAGTGTGTCAAAATGTTCTTAGTTCTTTTAGTCTTCATGAAGTAACTTTGGGTCCTGGTAGTAAAAATTTCCTTGGCCTTGAGGTTCCAGAGCTGGTAATTTTCACTGTAGGGTTTGTTGGTGGACTCTTCATCTGTTGTGTCAGTTAGTTCTTCAAAGGACTCCATGGTGTTCTTCTTACAGAAACACTAACTCCTAAGGTAAACTTAAGGTCACCAAGAACAGTAGACTTCAAGGGACATGTCTCAGACACCAGACCATAAGCTTTATTATAAGAGTTTTTGAGAAATGAGGGCCAGAATTTAAATCTTGGCCCTTCTCTCCATGAATTATTGACTTGGGACAAATATTCCACCCTCTGAGGCTCAAGTTTTTCTCATCTTACAAGCAGAAATTAATTTCAAAATACTTAATAACTGCTTTGATGTGAACCCTGACCAGTCAGAATGGATGCCAGCCATACACACTGGAATATTAGCTTAACATTAGTCCTCTCTGAAAAGCTTCAAGATGACATAATGGATACAGAGTGACAAGGACACAGCAAATACTGGAGATACTCAGGTTTCCTTCCTTTCTCCTTCTGGTCTACTTGAAAACTTTTAGGCCCAACCAGTGCACATCGACTTCTGGGCCAGTGCCTCCTAAACCTGGATGTCCACCACAGTCACTTGAGGAGCTCTAAAAACATAAAGATTTCTACCTTTCTTTCTCCTAGTCTCACTCTTCTAGATTCCGATTCAGTAAATCTAAGGTAGGTGCAGGGATTGGTAGAACAACAGAGGTTTCGTGGGGGGGTGGGCGGGTGGGGGGTGTTCCACTTCTGGAAAGGCAGTGCAAAGGAGCTTCTGTGGACCTCCTCCCTAAAGAAACAAGTACAACTTACAAGAACGACAGTGAAAAAAAAATCAACATCTCTGGAACTTGTCCTAAGTACATACAGCAAATGATGACATTTATTCATGAAAACCTATAAAAAGTCAGAATATTGAAAGTCTGTGGTATCTAACTATAGCTGCTCCCTCCCCTCCACACCTCGCCCATCATGGCAACTCCACCCAGGATAGAGGGTCTTTCTCCTTAGCTGCTCCTCAAAGCCTACTTCCCAGGAGAGTCAGGCCTTCAACATTCCTCACTCCTTCCAGATATGGGTTGAAAGGCTAAATTGTAGGCAAGTATGGTAAAAAGGCCAGGAGCTTCCTTTGCCACCAGCCTCTAGCTGTAAGGCAGAGGCTCCGCCTCAGGCCTGGTATATCCCAGGACTCTGTCTTCCCTGGATCTAGTTCATTTCTGAGGTAAGTTTACCTGACAGAAGAGGAAAGTTGGTGAGAAGAGAAGAAGTTAATACCCCATCAACAACTTGCTCCTAAAGCAGGGCATGTCTGTCAGCGAGGAGCAGGCCGTTGTCCTCATCCATCTCTGGAGATTTTACCCAGAGATCCTTAATAACAAAGAGTCTGAAGTTCTCTCCAAAATAACTAACTTTATTTGAAATAAAGTGTGAAGGAGTTCAAGCCTAAGGGCATACTCAAAAACTGGAATTTTTAGTGGTAAGCAGTTGGGGGATGCTGGTAGCTTCCAGCAAATACACCAGAGAGAATCAAGTAAAGAGATGGCTGAGAAGATCTGTCCTGGGGTTAGAACAATAAACACTGACCTAAAATAACAACAATAAAAACCTTTAAAGGACCCAAATTTTAATCAAGTGTGAAATTTTAGATCAAGTGTGGAACCATTTATGCCTTACTTTTATTAAAAACAGTAATCAGCTGGCAACTAATGAGCCCTAAAAATTGTGTGTGATCAGGGAAAGACAGCCCCCTAAAACACTCTCATCCCAGGTGCCAGAGGGTGCATAGGGCTGTGCGCTGGGAGATTTATACACTAGGACCAAGATGAGATCTCTCCCAGGAATGTCAGATTGGCTTAATGTATGAAAATTAATTAATGCAGTACAACCTATCTACTACAGACTAAAGGACAGAACCATATGATCATCTCCATCTATGTAGAAAAATCATGTTAAAATCTCAGTATCTCTCCATGACAAAAACTCCCAACAAACTAGAAGCTGAGGAAATTTTCTTAAAATTCACAGCTAACGTACTTAATGATGAAAGACTGAATTCTTTTCTGATATCAGGAATAAGACTTTAGTGTCCTTTCTTACCACTTCTATTTAGAATTTTACTGGAGGTTCTAGCCAGAGAAATTAGGCAATAAAATGAAATGGAAAAAAAAAAAAGACATCAAGATTGGAAAGGAAGTACTCCCATATGAAATGATCTTGTATATAGAATATCATAAGGAATCCACAAAAATTACTAGAACTCATAAATAAGTTCAGTAATGTTGCACAATACAAAATCAATATACACAAATCAATGGCATTTCTATATACTTGCAAAAAGTAATCCAAAATTAAATTAAGAAAACAATTCTACGGACAAGAGATCAAAAAGAATAAATAATTTACTAATAATTTATCAAAAGAGAATAAAACATTCTGAAAACTACAAAATGTGTTAAAGAAATTAAAGAAAATCTAATAAATGGAAAGAAATCTCATATCTATGGATCAGAAAGCTTAATATTGTTAACAGCAGTACTTTTTAAATTGATTTACAGGGTCAAGGTAATCTGTATCAAAATCACAGCTGGCCTCTTTGCAGAAAATGACAACTGATGATAAAATACATATGAAAATGTAAGGGGTCAAAAAAGCCAAAATGAACTCAAGAAACAACATTGTTGGAGGATTCACACTTTCTGACTTCAAATCTTAGTACAATGTTATAGTAATCAAAACAGCATGATACTGGCATAATGTCATGCATATAGATCAACAGAGAACCCAGAAATAAACTTTCATATGTATACATATATTCAATTGATTTTCAACAAAGATGGCAAGATTGTTCAATGGGGATCTCTTATAGGTCTAGGCTAATGTGTTTGTGTTTTAGTTTTTAACAAAAAGTTTAAAAAGCAAATAGATAAATTTGCAAATAGGCTACACCATATAGCCTAGGTGTGCTATAGGCCATATCATTTAGCTTTGTGTAAGTATATTCTATGACGTTCACACAATGGCAAAGTTTCTTAGAAAATATCCTCATCCTTAAGCAATTCATGGTTGCGTATGAAGTTCAAGAACAGATGAATCTAATTCATGATGGTAGAAGTCAAAGTAGTGATTTCTTCTGGAAGAGTAATATTCTGGGACAGGCACAGTAGAACTTTCTGGGTGATATATGTCTTACGTTTTGGTCTCAGTGGTGGTTTTGTTACCATGCGGGACAAGAGGTTAGGCTTTACCACTCATAGTGCCCCACAGATACTCAGGAATCAAGTTGGTAGGAAAACCAAGTTTATTCAAAGCCAGCTTTGAAGGAACACAGAACAGACTTATTCACCATCATCAGAGAACTCCAGGACAAGGAAAGCTTTTGTAAGAGAAAAGGAGGCCAAATGGGACAAAAGGCAGGGACATACATATGTAGGTTAGTTTAGCCAGAGAACCTCAGTTTCTTTTGCTTCTATCCTCAGCAAAGGAAGTTTTTATTCTCAGTCTGAGGAAGTTGCTCATATTTCAGAGGGATTCTATTTTAGTTACATGAATGTGCATATACATAAAAATTCATTGACCATGTCCTTAAGATTTGTGCACTTCACCATATTTAATCTTTACCTCAGGAAGAAAAAGAAGTTTAAAAAGTATAGTAAGTTTTAAAAGTATATGAGGAGACCAGATAACACAGTGTAAACAATATTGTTTCTGTTGTCTAAAAAGCAACATATAATTGAAATTGATCAGTATTTGGATTATTTGTCTCAGATTCATAGTAAATATACTTCTCATGATCAAGTAAATAAAATATTATGTTAAGAATTTGGCAAAAAAAGTATAAATTACCAAGACCAAAAGCAAAACAAATATGAAGACTAAATTTGTGGATTAAAAAAGTAGGCTTTATACAGCTAAAGAGATAATTAGTAACCTGGAAATCATATCAGAAGAAAATTTCCAGAATAAAAGATGGAGAGACAAAATAATGAAAACTGGAGAAAAGAATGTAAGTAGAAAGAACAAGAAGATATAAACATGAACACCTGTGGTACCAAAGGAGGGAGAATGGGACAAAAACAATATGAAGAAAGGAAAATGCCCGAGAACTTTCTTAGATAAATAAAGGGCACAAACTACAGACTCCAAAAGCTCTTAAATTAGTTTTAAGCCAGGCATGGTGGTGCCCGTCTGTAGCCCCTGGCTCAGGAGGATTGCAAGTTCAAAGTCAGCCTCAGCAACTTAGCAAGACTCTAAGCCACTTAGAGAGACCCTGTCTCAAAAAAATTAAAAAGGCTGGAGATGTGGCTCAGTTTCTAAGCACTCCTGGGTTCAATACCTGGTACAAAAAAAATTTGGAAAGGAAGTAAATTTGTCATTATTTACTGATATGATTGTGTGTGTGTGTGTGTGTGTGTGTGTGAGAGTGTGTGTGTGTGTGTGCGCGCGCCTGTGCGCACGGGTATGAAAGAATCTATAAATAAGCTATTGGGATTAATAAGTGGGTTTATCCAGCTTCTGGATACAGGATTCATAGAATATTCATTGAGTAGCATTTCTACACACTAGCAAGGAATAAACAGGTAATGAAAAAAGTTAACAATTAGAATAACAGGAAGATATTTTAAGAGCTTACAAATAAATCGAACTAAAGAATTACAAGACTGCTCTACCAAAACCTGTAGCTATTAAGAGAAATAAAGGTTTTAAGTAAATGGAGAGACGGACCATGTCAACCCATAGTAGTATAGAAATGACAGTATTAAATAGTGATGGGAAACTATATCTTCATATGAAAAAACTGAAATTTGATTTTTATTTGATCCACATCTTATTTGTAAGCACCACAGATTTAAACATGAAAGTCTTTTAAAGTTAATCTGGGAGAAAATTTCCATGATCTTTAGGTTAAGAGTTATTAGACAGTTAGAAAGCACTAACCATACGGAAAACAACAATCAATCTGAATCCATTATAATTCAGAACACCTGTTCATCAAAAGACACCATTAAAAGAATCAAAAGCAAGCCACAGAGTAGGAAAAAAGTTAACACACACAAGAGAGCTCTTATCCAGAATCTGAAACAGAACTCTTTTTTTAAAAAAATATTTTTTTAGTTGCCAATGGACCTTTAATTAATTAATTTATATGCGGGCTGAGAATCCAATCCAGTGCCTCACACACACTAGGCAAGCACTCTACCACTGAGCCACCACCCCAGCCCCTAAAAAAGAACTCCTATGAATCAATAAGAAAAATATAAATAATCAAGTAGAAAAATGCTCAAGAAATTTGAGCATTCTTTCATCAAAGTAGGTCTCCAAATGGTAGTGAGCATATGAAAGGTGATCAAACTCTCCAATCAGCAGGAAAATGGCAATTAAAACCACGTGCCTGCCAGACTAGCTAGAATGAAAAAATAAGAACATCAAATACTGGCAAGAAAGAAGGGCTATGGGAAATCTCATAAGTTGATGGCCAGAATGAAAACTAATAAAAATTATTTTGGGAGATGGGTCAGTATTATCTGTTAAGGATGAATATGTTCCATGATCTGCAATTCCACTCCTAGGTTTAACTGTAACAAAAACAAATGTACTTGTTTAACCAGTACACACATACAGTAATTTTCTTAACAGCATTGTTTGCAACACTCCCAAACAGGAAACAACCCAGAAGTTCACTATAGTCACATATATAAATAGTGATGTGGTCAGTATAAAAGAACACTACACAGAAAAAAAGAAAGAAAGAAAGAAAGAAAGAAATGAACTACAGCTACATTTAAGGGCATGAAAGAATCTCAAAATTTTAACACTGACTGAAAAAGAAGCTACATACACACCATGTGACTTTGTTTATATCCAAGTTAAAAAAAATCCAGGCAAAGCTGAACTGAAGTGTTCAAGTCTCCATATTAAGGTAGGAAAATTAGAAATAAAAGCAAAGAGGTGATGATCTTAAGTGTAAAGAGAGTAATACCATACTGGAGGCAGGGAGGATTGGTATTAGGGAGAGGCTCAGGGAGGTTTCTAGAGTACAGGCAATGTTCTCCTTTTTTGCTAGGATGGCAGGGTTATTTGATTTATAAAAAATCATTGAACTGAATATTTTAGTATTATACAATTTTGGATTTGTATTATATTTTATAATAAAAAAGAGTAGATCCATATTCAAGAACTTAACAAATTTCCAAAATACACCACTAGATGCAAACTCATGCACTACCAAATGCCTGATATTATTTATGTAACAAAAAATCCACATAGGGGCTGGGGTTGAGGCTCAGTGGTAGAGCACTTGCCTAGCATGTGTGAGGCACTGGGTTTGATTCTCAGCATCACATAAAAATAAATAAAATAAAGATCCATTGACAACTAAAAAAATATTTAAAAAAAATCCACATAAAGAAAACAATACATTTGTAAGTACTCACATACATGCATTTAAATGCACAGAAAAGACATTGCTAGTTGCCCTTTCTTACATTACCGCCCTGCCTTCTATTCTTTTCCATTCTCTCTTATCCAGAGAACTCCAACTCTAATTCTATACATCTCATCTCAAATCTTAACTTCCTCCAAGAGCTGACCTTGATCACCTTAGTCACTTCCCACCCTTAACCTGCTCCTCCTGCAGCACCTGGCATATATTTGGAACTCTTCAAAGATGAGCTGATTTTTAAAAAATATTTATTTTTTAGTTGTAGTTGGACACAATACCTTTATTTTATTTATTTATTTTTATGTGTGAGGATTGAACCCAGGGCCTCACACGTGCTAGGCAAGCGCTCTACGGCTGAGCCACAACCCCAGCCCAAGCTGAGGTTTTAATACAGCACCTTGCACAATAGCATCCTTTTACATGCCCAGTGTGATGGCCTCAACAGCCCCTTCCTGGGCAGTCCTGATTAACGTGTTCCACAATCTGTTGACATCTCCTGGAAATGTCATTATGCTGGTATTCAGATTGTAGCTCCCAGACTTTTTCTCTCACGAGGACAGGACTTGCCAGGCACTGAGTTTCCAATTCCAGTTTGAGAAATGTGTGGCCCTTCCCTGGCCCCAACCACTCAAAAGCAACTGCAGACAACCAGATAGGTTTTCACTGCAGGGGGCTGCCTATCAGTCTTCTTGTTGGCAATGCTGTTGCCAACATCTGCTTCTGTAGCAAAGCAGCACACAGTTCATCTCAGTTTAAAATGGTGACTTGAGAGGAAGGGCCATTTTGCCTCCTTCTAGTTTGTCTGAGGTTTTAGTCTAACTAGGTGAAAAGCGTGTACAGTTTTAAAAGTTACCATGATTTTAAGTTGTCTCCTTTTAGGTCCTTTTTGCTCCTTTGTAAGTCAATCTTACAAATTATATATTATTTGCAGATTTTATGTGTATATTTCTTACAAATTGGATATTAGTAACATTTAGGTATTGGATGTTGTTATAGATCATATACAGAATATAAATGCATTAATTTTCTCTAATTTTTAAAAAATACACATATATTGTATATATTCCATGAATATATATTCTATATATTCTGTGTATATTCCACATATATTCCACACATATTCTATGGATAAATATATATATATTTTTTTTTTCTTAAAAATTAGATACAATTATAGAATATATTACATATATATTGTAGACTGGATAATATTATTAAACATTACATACAGCACACATTATCATATATAATATATGTAATACATATGTATATATTCCATGAATATATATTCTATATATTCTGTGTAACAATATATTAACATGGAATATGTGTGCCTATATATTATAGACTGGATATTAAATTTTACATACAGGACAAAAATCTATAATATATGCCTATGAATATGTTACTTATAAATTGGATCAATAGTGAATATTTTTTTTTCTTCCATTATATCCTGAGTATTTTTTATGTCATATTCTTTAAAAACATGATTTTTAACAGCTGCTTAATTAATATTCCAGTCATTATATAAACTTGACCAAGTCTACCGTTTGCTTAAATCTTCCCAAGAACCTCCCCGCCCTGTTCTGTTGGGTACCACGCCCTTGGAGCGGGGCCCCATTCTCCTGCGCAGCCACCCACTCCTCACCCTCTCAGGACTTGTCATCCGCAATTCACACTGCTGCAGAAGCTCCCTCTGCCTGTGGAGCGAGACGTCAATCGTATCTGGTCGCCAATCCGGATGATGACTCCATCTGCGCTCTGGGTCTCGGGGTCCCCTACTCTCCTCCAGGCTCTCAGAAGAATCAAGGAGCCACCACCTGTTTGAAGGCCAGCTAAGAAACTGGTAATAGATGGGACAGTCCCAAGAGTCGGCCTGGGAGTGAGTCCCCGACTCGCTTACAGCATCCCAATCACACTAGCCTGAGCCCTGGTCACCTGCTAGTAAATTGGCTGCTCCAGGGCCCGCCCATCCGTGACCTGAGTGGGAGGAGAGAACCGTGGAGAGGAAGAAAGCGGGAAATCCGGGAGGCGGGCTGGGGGGCGAGGACAAATTGTAACGCGAGGCTTTCTGCTCCTCCAGGGGGCGTTTACTACCCGCCCCTCAAAGACTCACGACACACGGGATCCCTAAATTACCCTGGAAAGAAAGCAAGACTTTGCCTGGGTTCAGAGCGGGAATGGCGGCTGGAGGAACAGACCTAGCTTCTCGAGGTCAGGAGCCGGGGGCCAACACTCCAGCACCCCCCTTTACCCGCCACTGTCACGCGAGTCTTGAGAAGACCCGTCGCCTCCCAAGCGCTTGGTGAAAGCGGGGACCACCTGGGCGCGCGATGAGAATCCGACGGTCGGTCGCAGTCGCCAGAGCCACCCACCGCCATCCGACTACTGGCGATGTTGATATTTGCTGCAGCCGGAAGGCAGTCCACCTTGAGATGCTCCGGTCTGTGGTGCCCCCTATCACTCTCCTGGCTCCAGACCAGCAATTCGTAGCCCACGGCAGGCCTTGGCCTTCCCCACGGTTCCCCCATCTCTGAAACCTGGGGAGCCGCGAGCTTCCGTGAGAAGCACAGTTCAGTTCTTCCCTTTCCTTTCCACTCCATCCTCCCCGACTCCTTGGAGCACCGGCTTTCCAAGCTTATCATTTGAGAAGGCTCTTTGAGGTCACCAGTTCCTAGGTAGATTAGGCCCAGCTTCGCAGCTGTTGGGGCGGTGGGCAGCTGAGTGAGAGTGAGGTCTCCGGCCTTCAGGAAGTCTCTGCAGAAGTTCTAGGGAAGCCTGTTCTTTACAGCAGTACGAGGCCTCAGGTTAGGAGGAAAGGGGAATGGAGGCTTCAGAACACTCCACCACTCAGGGCTCCTCCACAGCCAGATCTGAGCATTATGGAGGTGCCAAAGAAAAATAAAAACATGTGTAAGAAGTCCCTGGGGGAGGGCTGGAAAGCAGTACTGCTGAGGAGACAGATAACAATAAAAATGACACCGAAGAAGACCAAAGGCACTCAAGGAGCTCAAAAGACCTTTTTAAATTAGAAAACATTTAGTTCAGAGGACTGCAAGTTGAAAGACAGCCTCAGCAACTTGGCAAGACCCTGTCTCAAAATAAAATAAAAAAGGACTGGGGATGTGGCTCAGTGGTTAGGTGCCCCTGGGATCAATCCCCAGTACCAAAAATACAAACCAATAAATAAATAACACAAATTTTAAAATAAAAATAGAAAACATGATATTTAAGCTTTATAAGTCAGCAGAGAAATCAAAAGAGAAATAATTACTTTTGAGATATATACTAGTTGTCTGGAAGAATGAGTGGGAAAATGTACTAAATCAGAGATATAAAGTTGTGAAAAAACACAAGAGTAAAAATACTTGAAAGCCACATTGAGAAGCATGTATAACAGGGGTCCTAAAGGAATAAAAGAATGGATGGAGAGGAGACAATAAGTAAACTCGAAGTAGAGGATGATGCCCCCGGATAAAAGAAAAACTTTTAATTGAAAGGCTTTATTGAATTCAACACAGTTCTGAAATCTGTGAACTCCAAGGTGTCGGGGTTTTTAGCCCCCTGTTCCATCCTGACCTGTGGGAGAGATTTGGGGAGCACGCCCCAACCAGGATGAACCAAGAAAGGTAAAGGTTGACTGGCCGCCCACACCCAGCCCTCCCTTGCCAGGAGGACAATCAGAAGCGCCAGGGAGAACAGTCAAAGCAGGATCTTATTGAGAAAACACACACAGCTAATATAATGCACAGGAACCGATCAGGGTAAAGATCAGCAGGGTTGGGAGAATTTACATCTACACCCATCCTACAGGCAGTAATGGAAGACAAGAGCTGTCCTTGAGGGCCGAAGGGTTCTGAGCCTATCCTAGAGGTGGTCCGATTCTTCATCACAACCCACGGCAATGCCTTCTGGCTAATCACTAGGTGTTCTCTTAGCCACATGTGGCCCCAGGACTGGGAAGCGGGTAGCAGCCAGCAAATTAGGTTTCCTCTTTTCTGATGCAACATGGCCCACGTTACATCATGCCCTACACAAGGATTTAGAGAACACTTTAGAGATATCTAGACAAAAATACAAATAACAGGGGCTGGAATTGTAGCTTAGGGGTAGAGCACTAGCACTTGCCTAGCACTTGTGAGGCACTGAGGCACTCCGTCCATTCCTCAGCACCACATAAAAATAAATAAATAAAGGTGCCAGGCATGGGGGCGCCCACCTGTAATCCCAGCCACTTGGGAGGCTGAGGCAGGAGGATCAGGAGTTCAAAGCCAGCCTCAGCAACAATGAGGCGCTAAGCAACTCAGCGAGACCTTGTCTCTAAATAAAATACAAAGTATAAATAAAATACAAAGTAGGGCTGGGGATGTGGCTCAATGGTTGAGTGCTCCTGAGTTTAATCCCCACATCCCCCATAACAAAAATAAATAAATAAATAAATATATTGTGTCCATCTACAACTAAAAAATATTTTTTAAAAAATACAAATAACATAAAAGGGAAAAAGGATCTGGCTGGCATCGGATTTTTCATCTCCAGCAATGGAAGGCAGAAAAAAAATAAAAGAAAGGAACTGAGACCAGAAACCTTCACCCGGTTAGTTATCATTATTCTAGTTATCACTAATTGCCAGGGCAAAACAAAAGGAATTTGATGATATGCAAAGATTTATAGAAAATATCACCCAGCTAACCCCTTTGAGGAAAATCCGTGAGAAAGGACTTTAGCCAAAAGATTAATGAGTAAGACAAAGGACTCAAAAGACAAGGACAATGAGAAGAAATGTGGTAAATGATGGTCCCTGTCTTCTGTTGTGTACATATATATGTACATGTATACAAGTGAAAAGGTATATAATTGTGTGTGTGTTGATGTATTAGATAATGATAAACTGTCCAGGAATGTTGTTATAACCTGGATTTGCATTGTCCCCTAAAGACTAATGCGTTGGGTCCCTGGTGAAGCAATGTTCAGAGGTGGGACTTCCTGAAAGTGATTGGATCATGAGTGCTCTAATGATTAATCCATTGATGGATTCAGAGCAGGATGGAGAGAGATGGGACCTAGTTGAGGCAGTGGGTCACTGGGTGCATGACTTTGAAGGGTATATTTTGTTCCTGGTTGCTTTCTCTCTTTTTTCCTCTGCTATTGGCTACCAGGAGGTAAATGATTCTGCTCTACCATACCCTGCCCACCATGATGCTCTGCCTCATCTAAGGGCCACTGCAATGGAGCTGGCCAACCATGGACTGAAACCATGGGCCAATGTAAATCTTTCCATCTTTAAGTTGTTTCTTTCAGTATTTTGTTAAAGTAACAGAAAGTTGACTAACACAAATGTATAAAATATTCCAAACAGGAGAATTATTTTGGTACTTAATAGGGATAAACTCTCAGAGAACTTTAATAAAAGTTTCAAACTTCTAGCTCTTATCTCAGCAAAAATCTAGAAATCATGCATTTCTTTCAGAATTGGCAGATCTAATAGGGTAAAAATAGTAAGGACATGGAGAAACTGTAAGGCAAGCAACAAGGACAGTTTAATAGACAAATAATAATGTTAGAGATAAATAATTTTAACAGGGAGAAAGTATCTTATTTACTTGGAAATTAAGAAATATATTTGTGGATAATCTCAGATAAACACTGAATGGGAAGGGCTCGGGATGTGGCTCAAGTGGTAGAGTGCTCACCTGGCATGTGTGAGGCACTGGGTTCGATCCTCAGCACCACATAAAAGAAAATAAAGATATTGAGTCCACCTAAAACTAAAAAATAAATATTAAAAAGAAAACACTGAGTAGGAAATTGGAAGTTTCCTGGTAACATAAAAGGAAGAATATATCATATCAAAACCTTTGAAACAAAAAAATTTTCATGTTAGTTTTCCATAACTGTAACAATATACCCAAGATAATGAACTTAGGGCTGGGGATGTGGCTCAAGTGGTAGCGCGCTCGCCTGGCATGCGTTCGGCTCGGGTTCGATCCTCAGCACCACATACCAACAAAGATGTTGTGTCCGCCGAGAACTAAAAAATAAATATTAAAAAATTCTCTCTCTTAAAAAAAAAATAATGAACTTAAAAGGAGGATAGGTCTATTTTTGCTCATGATTTCGAGGTTTCAGTCCATGGTCCCTTGGCCTGTTGCTTTGGGTCTATGATAGCATAGTGTATCATGGTGGGAACACTTGATGGAGGAGGCCAGATCACCTCATGGTGGGAAAGCAAAGAGACAAAGAGCAAGACACCAGAGTCTCACAATTTTTTTTCAAGGGCACTTGCCCTGTGACCTAACATGTCACTAGGCTCCACCTCTTAAAGGTTTCCACCACCTTCCAACAGTGCAAGTTGAGGACCAAGTTTTTAACACCTGGACCTCTTGGGAACATTACAGATCCAAACTATAGGATCATACTTAAGAAAATGTAGTTTAAAGATGAATAAATAAAAGAACCTGATACTTCCCTTAAGAAATCAGAATGACAAACTAGATAGAAATTATAATAAAATAAAAGATGACATCAAAATGAGATAGGAAACAAAAAAACAAAAAGGTAAATAAATTCAAATGTTGCTTAAGAGTTTGACTAAAGAAACATGAGATAAATAAAAGGAATAAAACATTAAGGAGGAAAAAAAGAGATATAGTCCTCAAAATTTATTTTTTATTTTTATTTTTTGGTATCAGGAATTGAACCAAAGGATTGAATCACTGAGCCACATCCCCAGCCCTTTGTATTTTTTAATTTTAAGTCATGCTCTCACTAAGTTGCTTATAGCCTCCCTAAGTTGCTAAGGCTGGCTTTGAATCTGCTATCCTCCTGCCTCAGCCTCCCTAGCCACTGAGATTAAAAGTGTGCACCACCGCTCCTGGTATAGTCATCAAATTTAGAGAGAATTTTAAGGAAAGCCTATGTGAAACTTTAAGTCAACAAACCTGAAAATCAGGTATACAGCAAATGTAGATCAGTAAAAGTGAGCCAAGGATTTTTGGGGGCAACTTGTGTACATTGATACAGCAGGAGTGGGAGCGTTTACTGTAGGACAGGAGGGGTAGTATATACATTTCACACAGCTTATCTTAATTAACATAAACTAGATACAGCAGTCAACCAATAAGGAATCTCCACACTTAATGGCTCGCTGGCGTTACTTCACAAACCACTCCCTCTGGCAAAATGCCAGGAGCCATCTTGACTTGTTTACAGACCTTAACAGTATTATGTCCAACTACTTCTAAAAAAGAATAAATGTTTTTTTTTTAAAAAGAATTTTGGGGAAAATTAATGGAAAATATTAAAAAGATGAATAAAAATCTATCCTTGAGGGGCTTGGGCTGTAGCTCAGTGGTCAAGCGTTTGCCTCACATGTGTGAGGCACTGGGTTCAATCCTCAGTACCACATAAAATAAAAAAAGAGGGCTGGGATTGTGGCTCAGTGGCAGAGCACTTCCTTCCCACATGTGAGTTCGATCCTCAGTACCACATAAAAATGAATAAACCAAATAAAGATATTGTGTCCATGTATAACTAAAAAATATTTTTTTAAAAAAATAGGCGGGCTGGGGATGTGGCTCAAGCGGTAGCGCTCGCCTGGCATGTGTGCAGCCCAGGTTCGATCCTCAGCACCACATACAAAGAAAACTAAAAAATAAACATTAAAAAATTCTCTCTCTCTCTTTCTCTAAAAAAAAAAATAGGGCTGAGGTTGGGGCTCAGTGGTAGAGTGTTCACCTAGCACAGGTGAGGCACTGGGTTTAATCCTCAGCACCACATAAAAATAAATAAATAAAAATAAAGGCATTGTGTCCACCTATACCTAAAAAAAAGTTGAAAAAATAAACAAAGATATTGTGTGTCCATCTACAATTGAACAAATATTTTTTTTAAAAAAAATCTATCATTGAAAGGGGCACCTGGAACCAGATAAGTTTAGAGACAAATTCTGTTTAACCTTTAAAAAAGCAGATGGTTTTAATGTCAGTCAAACCATGCTACTCAAAGTGTAGTCCATGAATTATCAGCACCACTGGGAGTGTGATACACATGTAAACTAATGGCCCCTAATCCAGATCCACTGAACCAGAATTATGAGGGTATAGGGAAGGTCTAAGAGTCTTCTTTATATTTTAATCCATAATTATTAAGAAATATTTTTTTTTGCAGCACTGGGGATTGGACCCAGAACCTCATGCATGCTGGCCAAGTGCCCTACATCCCTAGCCCAAGAATCCTCTTTTTAACAAGCTTTCTATGATATGATTGTTAGCATACTGTAGTTTCAGATGTACTGCCTAACCAAAAAAAAAAAAAAAAAAGGAGTGCTCTTCAATTTATAAAGCTAACATGACTTTAATGCTACCATCTGTTAAAAGGTAGTAAGAAAAATTCACCTACAATGATTGGATGTACAACTAAATAAATATTAGCAAATAGAATTCAATATATCAAAAAGATAATATAGTACAACTAACTAGCATTGATTCTACAAGGATGGTTCAATATTGAAACATGTATCAACAAGTATACTGAGCATCAAAAAGACAAAATTTAGAGCTTTATAAATATACTAAAACCATTGAACTATCCAAAGTATGTTAGACTTTCTCTATCCTTCATGTCTCTTATTAACCTCTTTCATATTTTTAATCCTGTACTTTCTCTGTGCTACATTTTTAGATTTATCTTTTAATTCACTAATTTTCTCTACATAGTTTTCTTATTCTTTTTTTATTATTAGTTGTTCAAAACATTATAAAGCTCTTGACATATCATATTTCATACATTTGATTCAAGCGGATTATGAACTCCCATTTTTACCCTGTATAGATTGCAGAATCACATCGGTTACACATCCACTTTTTTACATACTGCCATACTAGTGTATGTTGTATTCTGCTGCCCTTCCTATCCTCTACTATCCCCCCTTCCCTCCCTTCCCCTCTACATAGTTTTCTAATCAGTTGCTTAATGTATCATTGAGATCTTTAATCTTAATGATTATAATTTTTCATTTCCAAAAGTTCTTTGTTTCTTCAGATAACTTGATTAATTATTTCTCACCCTTTTGGTTAAGATGTAGTTATCAAATACCCTAATCATTTTTGAGAATCTATTGCTTCTCACTCTTAATTTCAACTCTCTTTTTGTCTTTAAATATATCAAGCATACTTATTTTATGCTATTTAGTAATCTTGGTATGTTAGATATTGAAGGGACTGATATGTGTATGTTTTGTTTTTTTTTCTGGTCCTGGGCATTGAACCCAGAGATTGGATCATGCTAAACACGATCTCTATCTCTGAGATTCCCCTATAACCTATTTTGTTCTCATTATTATTATATATTTTTTTTATATTATACTAGGGCTTGAAATGTAGGGGTTCTCTTACACTTGGCTATATCCCCATACATTTTCATTTTTAAATTTTGAGACAGAGTCTCATTAAGTCACTGAGCCTCTTGCCTCAGCCACCAGAGTCGCTGGGATTACAGGCCTGCACCACTGTACCTTAAAGGGTCTGTTTTTGCTACTTGTTAGTTCTACTAATCCTCCCAGAGGGTGCCTTGTTTCCTGTGCTTTGTAATATCTTTCTGTGAACTCATGTTCACTGAAAGCTTATTATCTGTGGGAATTAGATGAGGCATGATAAAGGTTATATTTTCCCCAAAGATTATTTATGACAGGGGTCAGGGGAAGGGTATCATCCACCAGGCATGTTTTATATAACTCTCAAGGTTGAGTTTTTCAGATTATGCAAGTTGTGTTATTTGAATACAAATCCCATATGAGAGAAGGTTTGGGTTACCAAAGGAAGAATACTTCCTTCCTCTCAGAGACAGAATCAAAACATATATATTTTATTGCTATTTCATGCTTCTACAAAGGATGGTTCTTCCTCTTTCTGGTGTGTATGTGTGTGTGTGTGTCGTGTGTGTGTGTGTGTGTGTGTGTGTGTGTGTGTGTGTGTGTTGCAAGGCCCCAAAGCTTTGTCTTTGCCTCACTTTTAAAACCAAGTATCTGTTACAAGACAGTGGCAATTGCCCCAAAGCTCTTGCTTATCTATCTGAATTCAAGCTTGGGTCTTGAAGATTTCCTTTTATTTCTTCTTAGCTCATCTATGCATCTAAGAGTATTATTGAAATATATTTCACATTATATTAAGAAGACCCTTAATAAGAAGACCCCTTATTTGTTCTATCTTGTCCTCTCTGGGTCTTCTTCAGTTCTATCCAGTTAACATCTATTTTCCCCCTCATTCTCTACCAAAGACCCTTCCTCCAGGCTCTTAATACCATCTTAGTAAAAATAGATAATATTAGACTTTAATTCGGAGCTGGGAATGTGACTCAAGCGGTAGCGCACTCACCTGGCATGCGCCGGGCACTGGGTTCGATCCTTAGCACCACATAAAAATAAAATATAGATGTTGTGCCCACCGAAAACTAAAAAATAAATATTAAAAAATTCTCTCTCTCTCTCTCTAAAAAAAAGACTTTAATTCACTTGGTAAAGTAACAAACTATTTCAAGTATTTAAGAGATATATGAGGAGGTCACCAATTAGCAGGTCATTAATCACTCTGCTATAATCAATCTGCTGTTTTCTGAGAAAATTCTCTCTACCTGGTTTAGCCCATTGACAGGAAGCACCAGGCAGCAAGGACTAGGATTCTAGCATTTAAATTCAACAGAGCTAGTAGCAAACACAACTGAAAATTGGGTACGTTTTAATAACAAAAGTAAGGTTGCACTAGATTGGCTAATTACCAGCATTATTTTTTCCCTAGTTTCACATGGGCCAGTTGTAGCTCACGCCAATTCACAGAGAAATGTAGCCTAGGAGAAATAGGTTACTGTCAACCAAATATGGAAAGCCAAAGTATGTAATTATTATGGTTCAGGTAAGGACAAGTATGGGAGGTGGAGGGAATGTTATGTTAGTCTCCTTCAGCCAATTAAAAAAGTTCCCAGTCTAAGAAAACAAAAGGTTGTAGATCCAGTTGTTAACAGTTGCCAGTTTTACCTCTTCTAGTGTCAAGTTGTGCACTGGGAGTTCCACTTTGAAAAAGAAGTGATGTTATGCCAGATGAGCCAACTCTTGATTTCCAAAAGGAATTACTCACATGGTAGAAAGATTCCCGCCCCCCATTATATATTCTTCATTTTCTTTGGGTTTTTCTTCTCCTGAAGCAGTGAAAGGGGCTCCTGTGAGACCTCTGAAGATTGAGGCTTGAATATAGTTTCATCCCTATTGTGAATCTTGGTGACTGTAACAGCCACCTGCATAAAGGTGTGCACGCTGTAGGCAGGGATGGGCAAGATGGTTACGAAGAAGAAAATTATGAGCAGAACATTAGCCCATGTTGGGTAGGATCGGATCACTTCTTTTGACTGTGGAGAAAGGGGAGGAAAGTTTAGAATGCCCAGATTCTCTGAAATGGAAGACTGTAGAGATAGGGTAGGAGATGAGCCAGGTCAAGACTAGATAACTGAATCCCCAGGGAATCAGGGAATGATATGACTTGGTCCTACAGGCAATAGTGTACTGAGAGGTCTAGTCCCCATTTCTTCAGAAGTTCTGGTGGGGGGGAAGGCTCACAGTAGAGTCCCAAGCCAGGTATGTCGTGGTCCTCATACAAAGATTAATCACAGTGGACAAAAACAGGATTAGCAGCACAACTGGAGACACAATGCACCACAGCCAACGATACATAGGGGAGATGGGGTGGCCCAACATGATCATCACGTCTGCAAGGAATCTAGAGGAAGGGCAAGAATTTTAGGAGGCCCATTTTTGGGCTACCTGGTCTTCAGGGGAGAGATCAACTCAAATCTAGCCTAGGAAACAGCCTTTGACATTTTTTAAACCTTTCTGTTCACCTCCACAACCCTTCTATGACTAATCCTCTCACCTCAAATTCATCCTCTTTCAGTCTGCAACTGCCCCAGGATTTTTAAGCATCTGATGTTCTACTGGCGAACTAGCTCGTCACTCCTTGCCCAAGCATTTAAAAAATTCCTTTCCCCCATCAACTTCAGGATAAAGGCTAAGTTCCTAAATGAAGTTTCTTCCAGCTCATACATCCAGCTTTCTTTGGTATACCTTTTTAATGTCAACACAAATGCAAATTGGGTTCATTCTCATTCTCTCCCTGTCCAGATACTGCTCAAGTATCCCCTCCTCTAAGATGCATCACCCAATTCTTCATCCTTCTTTAGTTAATCATGTGTATTCCAGAATGTTCTCTGTTACATCTCTCATAGACTAATCACACTGCACAGGGATCTGCTTACGTATGTCTTTGTCTTTGGACTCTGCACTATGGGCTGAGAGCAAAAGCTAAATATAATTCATCCTAGAAATTCCTAGTATTAACTATAAGACTTGCCGGCATACAGGAGACCCTGAGAGATACGTGAGAATGAGTGAATGTGTGAAAGACCAAACTGATGCCAAGAACCACTACCTCCTGGAAATGCTGCTGCCCTTGGTTACATGGTATTTCTCATGCTAGTGCATACAGATCACCTGGGGATCTGGTTAAAATGCAGATACAGATTTGAAGGCTTGAGGTGGAGCCCTAGAATCTGTATTTCTAATAAGCTTCCAAATGATGCCAATGCTGCTACGCCTCAGATCACATTTTGAGAAGCAAGGGATTACCTGTTTCAGATATCCACATTAACTTGGTTAAAAGTAAGATCAGCAGCCCACTGGACTTGATATGGGCTGCTCACCACTTTTCATTTCAAAACTCTTTTCTCCAGGAACCAGCCCATGCTGTTCCCCTTTCCACCCTCCTGGGGCTTTCCCTAAGCCCTGAAATCAGAGATCTGGTGGTAAGAGTGGAGGGATGGAGAAAAGGACCAAGGTTCCCTAGGACCCTTGCTGTGTGACTGCAGGAGACTCCTGGGCTTGGGACATCACCTCCTGGTCCCATAGATCCAGGCCATGGCCATGTTCTCCAAGATGATAATGCAGAAGATGGGCAGAGAAATCCAGTAATCATCCAGCAGATTCACAAAGTAGCTGCCTGAAGGCCTTGCAAAAATGAGGCTGCCCAGGAACATAGGCACATAGACACCCACTGGAGGAAAACATCAGGTTTGGATCAAGGTCAAATTTAAGCTGGGATGCTACATAAGAATACCAGTTGGGTTAAGCTAGATAATGGCCATAGTGGGTATTGAGGTCATAAGTCAGAGTATCTGTGAACAGGTTTGTATGTCTCCTGAAGGAAGAGAAAACATCCTGGAGAGGGGTAATGATGCCCTGCAAGATCCCTATCAAGGAGCTCATCCCCTGTGTCACCAGCAACAAGAAAATGATGATGGCCCAGAAGTTGGGTCCAGAAAACAAGGAGATGATGTCGGTAAATACCACAAAGGCCACACCTGGACCCTCCATAATCTATGAATGAAGGGAGAAATGGTGAAGACTCAGAGCTAGAAAATAGTATATAGTACTGTTAACAGACATTACCACTCTCTGGCCTTGAGGCATGGTGAATTCCTCCAACAAGAGCTGAGCTGGGTATCTCTTGGACTAGAGTAAGTAGGTTTATGTTAACTGTAGTGCTCGGTGCTAAAGAGGCTACCATTGCCTTATCACAAAAGGCAAAAAACATTGTTTTAATTGTCCAGGATGCTGCTGAGAATTGTCTTTCTGGATTCTACAGACACACTAAGGGGAGATGAAGTTTCTGATACACTGGGACCTTTGGGGAATTTGAGAGCCCCACCTTCAATCCTTACCTACCTCTCTCAATTGTTCAGTTTTGTTGCAGGTAGACAAATATTGTATGATTTCTCCTTTTACTTGTGTAGGTAAGCCACTGATCCACTTTGTGTAGGTAGAGCTTGGATTATGATATAGACTATCTGGGGGCAAGACCAGGGCAGGAAGCACTCCAGTAGTTACCAGATGGATCACAATGTCAGCATTCCTGGAGACAGAGTACAATTGTATAAAATTATTTGACCCTTTGAAATAACTTTCTCTCCCTTATCCTATAGATGAGAAGGGCAGTCTCTAGAGTTTTATCTTGTTAAGGTGGAGCCTGCACTGACACTGAGTTTTCAGGATCCAAGCGTACACTGCCTGCTGCTTACTTTCATGATAGTAAAGGTGTGAAACTGGAGAATTTCTGACCTAAATTGTCCCCTGGGATCTTTCCTACAGTATTATTGACTAAAGCTTTAGGACTCTTACCTCCTGGTAGGTAACACTAACATATCTCTGCTTCTTGATCTTCAGGCCTCTCCAAACACTGTCTTTCTTCACAATTCTCTTTATCTCCTATTCTTCAGCTACACCAACTGTTACACCTTCCTTAACTTGCAATACTATCTCTTATCTTAGCATCTTTGGTACATGATGTTCTTTCTGCTTAGAATTTTCTACCTGAATCCCCATACTCATTCTCCACATGATTAATTCACTTAGCTCAATGAACTCAACTTACTGCCATGGAAAATTGTTCAAGATCTATTTTCATAAGGGTAACTAAACAAGCTGATGAAAAGTAGCATGGTATTACCTGATTTTAAGTGGTATTTATATTTGTATATAGGCCCATGAATGGGAAATACCTGAAAGAATACTAGCAGCAGTTTTCGTCAGAAGACAAACTCAGCTCAGTTTGAGTGTCTCATGAGGAAGTCTGAGAATGCTCCCGGCAGTTACTGCCTCTTTCTTCTGTCTCTCCATCACTGGCCTACTACTACTGGATCCCATCTGGTTTGTGATAATCTGTTTGGTATTGGATTCCTCAGCACTGTAATTTTCCTGAGGGCAGGGGTGGTAGTCTGGCTCACCACTGGCTGTTTCTAGAACTCAATACAGGGGTTCTTTTTTTTTTAATATTTATTTTTTAGTTTTTCGGCAGACACAGCATCTTTGTTTGTATGTGGTGCTGAGGATTGAACCCGGGCCGCACGCATGCCAGGCGAGCGCGCTACCGCTTGAGCCACATCCCCAGCCCAGGGGTTCTTAAATAGGAGATGTTTTGGAAAAAATGTCACAGGAGAAGAAAATGGGAACTGACTAGGCTATGGAGACTCTGATGTTGTGTCAGAGATAGCATGGTCATCAGTTTAATGGTTGAGCTGAAGATATCCCCTAATTTTTCCATGGCAGTCCTGCTAAGAATGGGATGAACTATCTTTGAAAACCTCTGAATCTGGGCTCTCCTAGTTTCAAAAAGAAGCTCTAAAAGGTGTTTCTAAGGTTTAGGATGCTCCAACGTGAGAGCCTATATTGACTGAGTCAACATCCTAAGGGATGGAGGGTCTAGACTGGAGTTCTGTGAGTTTTTTCCAAGATTTTCTTCATGATAATCTTTCTAAGATTTCTTTGTAATGATCTCCATATGAAAATTGAGTTCACTTCTGGTAACAGTTTTCAGTGTTCATCATAGCCAAGTGGCCCATCATGGAAAATACAACCAACGCAGAAATCACTGAGGCAGCCAAGTTGAGAAGAGCCACAGCAAAGGCATCACTGACACAATCATTGGACCGAGGGATGTATGAGCTGATTGCGGTAAAGCTGCCAAAGCCAAGGCCAATGGACAAAAATAGCTGGTTACCTGTCTGATGCCAAGCTTCCACAGAGAACAAGGTTGTTACCTGAAGGGGAGAAGTACCATGCGAACAGGGATGTAAAAGGAGGAGAGGTAAACCATGATGGAGATGGAAGACAAGATAAAGGGGATGAAAGAGGGAGCTAGAAGGGCCTCTATCAGACTGATAACCACACCTTCTCTGACACCACCCATGTGGATTAGAAAATTTAAGGATGGAAGACACCTTACCTTGACAGCCAACAAATTCTTGAGACCAAAAAATGCACCGCCTAGCAGTAGACTCCAAATAAGAAGACAGAAAAGGATGATGTAGGGAAGAACTACTGAGGCACACAGCATCTGAGTAGAAAGTTATGATTCAGAAATTGAGTCCAGCAAAGGCAGAAGTTGGGGACAGTAGAATCAAAGGCTAATCAGAATCAGAAGTCCTATTAAAAGGAATGAGAATTTGGAGATCTAGACTACAGGTATCAAAGTTAGGAGAATATTAGGAACTCTCAGATGGAAAAGAAGTAACTTAGAGGGTGGCTCACCTTCCCAGTTGACTTGAGCCCTTTGATCATTCGAGATGCAAATAATTGACCATGTCACAAAAAGAGACATACAAAGATGCAAGATTGGTTGGTATCCCACCAATCTCCATTTCATCTGCAGTATTCAATATTTTCCGGTACCAGAAGTATGTTGTAGATCTTGTCCTTTTGCATTCAGGATCTGAGGTGAACTGGCCATGGAGAAACTGCAAGAGCAGGGTACCTCCCCCTTCTTCACATCACCCCCTTCCTCCAATCCCATTTCATCATCTTCCTGCTCACCCCTCTTCTCTCAGTGATCCTTCTTCCTTCATCCTTCCCCAGTCTTTTGCTCAGCCCTCCCCCTTGCCCTTTTTTTCCCTGTCTTCTCACCAAGATCACTGGAGTTCCTTAGTGATGTCCAAGGTAATGGGGACTGGAAAGACTGAACCAAATAGAAGAGATTCCAGCTAATGACAATGCTGAAGTACAATCCCACGATGATGCATACCTAGAGACCATGAAGATTTGACAGAGGAAGAAAGGCAGGCCAGCAGAAGAGACAGAATTTGACTTGATGGTTGGGAATCAGAAGGAACTTGACCCATGGAAATGAAAACATGTCATGGGACCCATTCCAGGATGAAGGTTAATATGGAAGTAGAGTCTAAAAATAGGCCTGGGCAGCCAGGGGTCCTCACCATGAAGCTGGAATACCCCACACCACCAATCCATGGGTTGATGGCCTTCCATACACCAATGCTGTCCTGATGCATCCTCTGGCCAACTGCCATTTCCAGAAAGAGGATACGAATCCCTACTAGGAACAGCATGAGGATGTAGATAATGATGAAACTGCCTGCAAGAAGGATTCAGAAGGGGCTCTGAGACCCATTTGACCTTTCAATACTTGGCCTTCTTCAGGGGTCCAGGAAGATATGCTCATCACCATCAACTTCTCTCAGGGCCTACAGGTATCGGCACCCGTTTGTTCCCATATCTCTTTCAGTCCTAGGTATCTAGTCCCTTGTCCCCCAGTTTCTGGAAGACCCAGATATTTAGTTTCTACCCCCACCCCTGACCCAGGCCTCTTAGTCTCACCATCCTCATAAACATAAGTATTCAGTTACCCTCCTCCAACCTCCCAAGGTCCTGAGTTCAGGTACCTTATTCCTGCCCCAGACAGGACCCCAAATCCTCTATCCCTGCACATCTTAAGATTCTAGAGGAGTCAGGATAGGCCTCTGGCTTCATATCCCCTCATGGGTCCACGTGTCCTGGTACCCAGGCTTACCACCTCCATTGCAAAAACATATATAAGGAAAGCGTCAGATGGAACTCAGCCCCAAACAGAAGCCCACCTGGGCCAGGAGGTACTCAATTTTATTGGCCCAGGATGGTCGGTCACTGGGGACTTCAGCCATGGTCGGATTAATGATTGTGGACTCTGGAATCTTTTCATTGTCTTCATTAGACCAAATGTCTGAGGATAAAGTATCAAACTTTTTTATCCCGCCACTAGGCTCATCAAAAGGCAGAATCTCAGTCTGCAAGGAGAAGGAATTCCAGGTGTCCTCTGGCAAGGGTTTGGAATATGAAGATTCAGGCAGCTGGGGTTTCATATCCTGGTCCTCCATAATTTCACCATTCATACCATCATCCAGAGTAGATTCCAATTTGTAATTCTGCAGGGATCAGTGATATTGACTGCAGCTTAAAGCTGTGAGTGGTATTGACTGCAGGCTTTAAATGCATGAGCTGGAAAAGACAAGGCTGATCATATAAGAACCCCTGAGACCTTCCCAACCCAAGCATGTATGAATAAGAAGATGGAATCTCCACCTTGGAAAAAAAGTACCAAGAGTATGCCTACTTCTAGAAAATAAGAATTTTAAGGAAATGGAAACATCTGCCCCACGTGCCGGAAGCTTGCTAACCACACCAGCGCGGTACTCCGCGTCCTGCCGCGCCGATCCTCTGCGAGTGGCCTCGCGAGAAGTGCTCACCGAAATGGCTGCGTCCAGTAAAGGTAGCTTTGAGGGAAACTTTGAGTCGCTGGACCTTGAAGAATTTGCTAAAAAGCAACCATGGTGGCGCAAACTGTTTGGGCAGGAATCTGGGCCTTCAGCTGAAAAGCATAGCGTGGCAACCCAGCTGTTAATTGGAGGTGTCACTGGATGGTGCACTGGTTTCATCTTCCAGAAGGTTGGAAAACTGGCTGCAACAGCTGTGGGAGGCGGATTTTTTCTCCTTCAGCTTGCAAACCATACTGGGTATATTAAAGTTGATTGGCAGCGAGTAGAAAAGGACATGAAAAAAGCCAAAGAACAGCTGAAGATTCGTAAGAGCAACCAAATACCAACTGAGGTCAAGAGTAAAGCTGAAGAGGTTGTGTCATTTGTGAAGAAGAATGTTCTAGTGACTGGAGGATTTTTTGGAGGCTTTTTGCTTGGCATGGCATCCTAAGGAGGACAACTTCACTTCCACTGTTCTGATTTTTTTCTAATCAGCAGCCTCTACACTCCATCATAGGACATCAAGTCTCTCCTGTTCTCCCATGCCTTCCTCCCTGTTGTGTCAAACCTGAATTGGCTTCTATAGGCATCTGTTGGTACAAGTTAATACAGGCCCTGCCTGCTGTGAGCTTGATGGTGATGGAAGAGACATTAGACATTAGCTCTCCTCCCAGTATACTCCCCACTTGGTCAATCTGTAGGTCAGCAAAAATGTCCTTTCCCTTATGAAATACTTACCAGAATACATTGCAAGATCATTTGCCATGAATGGGTCTTCAAAGGTTGTCCCACACTTGATTTGGAAAAGAAGCAGATAGTTAACTTATGTGCTGCATGGGAAGGAACTGAATACATTTGCCTTTAAGCAAAAAAAAAAAAAAAAAAGAATTTTAATTTTTGTTTTTCGGTGCTGGAGACAGAACCCCAGGACTCACACAGGCCAGGTAAGTGCTCTATTACTGAACCACAGCTCCAGCCCTCTGGAAAATAAGAATTTAAAGACAAGACCATCTAAGATTACACCAAACAATATAAAATGCCTAGGAATCATTCTTAACAAAAATGACTTAAGATTTTTATATATAAACTTTAAAAAATTCGAACTTAAAAATTTGAGAACTATAAACCAAATTAAACTATAAAAATATATTAAGAGGTATTAAAGAAGTTCTAGACAAGTGAAAGGATTAAAATGTTCGTGATTTAGAAGCTTCAATAATCAGTTCAACACAAATTGATCTACAGATTCAATGTAATTCCTACTGAAATCATAGCAGGATTTTTTTTTAATATTTATTTTTTAGTTAGTTATTGGCAGACACAACATCTTTATTGGTATGTGGTGCTGAGGATCGAACCTGGGCCGCATACATGCCAGACGACCGCGCTACCGCTTGAGCCACATCCCCAGCCCAGCAGGATTTTTTTTGAGAGAGAGAGAGAATTTTTTAATATTTATTTTTTAGTTTTTGGTGGACACAACATCTTTATTTTATTTTTATGTGGTGCTGAAGATCGAACCCAGCGCCCTGCGCATGCCAGGCAAGTGTGCTACTGAATAGCAGGATTTTTGTGTAAATTCATAAGCAAAATTTATGTGGAAAGCAAAAGGCCTAGAATGGTTAACACAGACTTCATGGAGAAGAACAAGACATAAGGACTAATTATAGAGTTATAAAAATGAAGAGAGCACTGTATTGGCACAAGGCTCTGTGGCACATGTAGATCAGTGGGGCAATATGCTGTACTGTCCAATATAGTAGCTACTAGCCATATGTGACTGTAAATCTAAATTAATTAAAATTAAATGACATCAAAAACTAAATTCCTTAGTCACATTATCCACATACCAAGTACTCAGTAGTTACAAGCTACCATTTTGGAAGGGCAGCTATAGAACATTTCCATCATCACAGAGAGTTTTATTGAATCCCCTCAGGGGAGTTCAGAAACATACTCACAAATATATATATATATATATATATATATATATATATATATATATATATATATACCTGATTTACAACAAATATGGCACTGCAGAGCTATGGAGAAAGGACATTCTTTTCAATAACTGACTATTTGCCAGGGTAATTAGATATCTAT